TTTTTTTTTTTTTTTTATCGATAAAAATGCTTCTAAGTGACTTATAAGCCTCCTGATTGGCACTTTTATGGATAAAAGAGGGTCAGGAGAATAGGAGCTTTTATGTTGCAAGTTAAAATATCTGTATTTAAAAACCAGAATAAACAAGAATGCCCAAGATTAGTTACGTGTTTGCGCATTGGTGCTTTTCCCTCATGCAACGTTGGTAGCGCATGTGTTGGACAAAATCGGAAATCCTGAATAAAGATGAACTCGAGATGAGAGATCGGTGCGTCACACACGTGCGACGCTGGTATAGTGCGAACGTGTAGTTACGTTGGGGCGATATATATTTACCATTTTTCCTTGCGATCAGAACGTAGACGAAATAAGCGACGAGCAGACCGCCGATCAACGTCAACATCTCTCCGGTCGGTTGCAGTTGCATCGACCGCGCACCATTCACATCATATCGCCAGCTAACGCGGTTGCTCCGTGCCTCCTACTCTCGTTTGCTATTCACTTGTTTTCCGAAATCTCCTCGAAAAAGTTCAGAATCCAGCGGATCTCTCTCTTTCCCTTTCTCTCTCTCTCTCTCTCTCTCTCTCTCTCCCTCTTTTTCTGCCCTTCTCGCTCTCAGCACCTGCGCGCACCTCGCGCGTTCATCGACGAGATGAAAGTTCAAGCGCGACGTTTCGTCGTCACTCTTTTCCACGCGGACGACAGTTTCGACAACGGTTTCGACAACGGTCGGCGATTAATTGCATTTCTTCATGCGCGTTCCTTCTAAACGGAACCGGGCTAAAATCACAGAGAAACGTCGCGTTGGAGCGTCGCGTCGTAATGTCGATTCCATCCACCCGTCGGCTCAATAGCAGCTGTCACGTAAACGCACCAGTGCGACGATGACGAGTCGCACGGCACGTCAAGCACACGCTATTCACCGAGACAATACTCGCCGGGGTAAATGCGGGGCAAAGGTCAAGCACACGCGGGTATCGAGGATCCTACGTAACGTGCACGTGCATGTTAATGCTGAGCGGAATTCGCGCGATGACGTTCGCCTTTTTTCTCCTGATTTTTTCATTTTTCTGGGGAAAGACTTTGAATTCTGATTTGCATAACCGCCTTGACGACGCCGGTACTTTGAAGATTCCCCGGGAGAAATGTCTCTTTCAGATAGTTAAATATCGATCGGCACGAGCGTACACTCGTTTGCGGAACGGTTTCGGCACGTTCCGAGACACATCCGCGCGATGGCCAATGAGAGAATCTATCTTATGAGAGAGGAAAGAGTTCTTTTCAATATAATGATATTTAATAATTTCATACTTAATAAAATATTTAATAAAAATATTTAATAATAATATTTGAAGGGCTTTTGCAGCATGGAAAAATTCTCGATTTGGCTATCGCATCTTTAATGGATTAATTTCCGACGTTTTGTGAACGTTTCAGTTCACTTTTTCAGGGAGAGAAAAAATTTGACTTGTGTGGGTGACAACCTGAGTTTCAGATTATTTCTCTCTCTGAGTAAGTGCATCAAAATGTTGCGTATATCAATTAAACAAATTGAAATAAATAGATGTTATTATATCTCTTCAATTTCTGCACTCGCTCGCGGTCAATGTGGAAGAACCTTAACATACGACCGAAATGAAGAATCCTCTCATTAGAAAATTCGGCTGAATTCCAGGGCACGTCGAAGAGAACGTGCTCGAACCGTCCTGCAAACGAGTGAACGCGTCCCGTTACGAGTCGGTGTGGACCGAGTGTCGTGTGTTTTTCCAGAAAGCAAACTCAACAAACTCCGCGGAGCAGCTCGTGGTCGTGTGATTAATTAATATCGACGTATTGTGTATCTCCGCGAGTGTCTCGCGCAGGAAAATCTCGCGTCGGCGGCGCGGAAGGGATTCGGTTAAGTTGGAAGTAGTGTCGTAATTTCTTGGATACAGAGTGTATCTCGTTTGTTCAGTTGTGTCACGCAATTGATAAAAGACCACGCGACTCGCGACGATAACGAGAACGCAATAAGGTCGTCCTATTTCTTTCTTTCTTCCTTTCTGGTCTCCTCGCGATCGACCGCGATTCGCCGGCGCGTCCGCGAAATTTCCCGATCGAGAACGCATCGCATCGCGGCTGCATCTCTCTGGTCGCGCGTATGAGAGAAACGACAGGCAAAACGAATCCCCGTATACATATATTTTAGACGCCACCAGCATCGTTCGCGTTAATCGCGCGCGAACGAAATTACGTATCGTTACGATCGCGTGTATCAGCCGCATGTGATGCGGGATTAAAGACGTGTCAGTGAACGTCCAGGACGCGCGCCAAGGCCTCCGAATCGATTTCTCGAACGTGAGAAGAACGCGTTCTTCCCTCCCTTCCCCGGCCGATATCGCTTTATCGCGCCGCCGTAATTAGCGTCGACCTTTTATTTCGTAATTAGTGTCGCGCAAATTCCCGAGCGCGTTTCGTCCAGACTTCCGTCAATCTCGACTCGCTGTCGCGGTTTCATCTATTTCGAATTTTTCTGCGGGAACAATTGCAATCGTTAGCGCGATCACACGATCGCACGATTCATTCGCTTTTTCCAGTTTGGAAGCAATGACGACACAAGCGACTAGAATCCCTGTCCTGCGAAGTTCTAAATTTTCATCGAAGTTACCGCAAACGAAATGTTGATCAAAGTTGCCGCAAACGAAATTTGGATTAAAGTTGCTGCAAAAGAAAAGTTCGCATCGCAATTTACATGCAATTGAAATTTACGTTCTGAGCATTTTAAATATACATACAAACACACATACACACAGACTCGCGATTTCTCAGGGAAAAGTAGAAAAGAATGCTAGCGGGAGTACGCCAAGACTGAAGTAGAATTTCCCACAATAGACTAGCGGCCACAGCTCCTCTGGATTCACCTGTTTCCCAGAGAGCACACGTTTCGCGCGCTTTCGTCAATCGGAACGTATCCGATGATCGTAACGACGATCAGTCTGTATGAGAGCGTCGGAGGTACCGTAATCAGCGGGATCAGGGATCTCCGTGCCTCGCCGTTCCCATCTCACCTTCTCCACTTTGCTTATCGCGGGCACATTCGTCACGTTTTTCGCGTAATTCGCCCTCGCGCGCTGCCGCGATATCTCACTCGCGCGCGCTCCTACTGTTCGCTCGCGACTGAGGTTCGCCGAATGCGACACGCACGTATCACCACCACCGCCGTCGTGGTCGTCGTTGTCGTTGTCGTCCTCGTCCACCTGTGCACAGTGTGTACGACCTATGGCTTCCTCATAGTGGGGAGTCGGTCGCTTTTGCGAGAGAACGCGCGTCTATCGCGAAATCGCACGTCGGCTCGGCGGCAACGGTGGCGGCTCGCATTCGCGACGCAAGCTTCATATCAGTTTCATGTTAAATTATAATGTATCCATCCAATAAGTCCCCGTCGTGAAGAATCTTCATATTAACACCAGACCAGACTGCCGTCTACGCCAGCCTTACACGTCATGCATACGACTTCTCACTTCAAGCTCTCAACTTTATTCAAGATTTTTGTTTGTTCTGTCTTCTTCTTCTTTGCTACCAGTCTCGTGCGATTATTTTTTCCTTCCGTATCCGCATAAAGAAATCAAATTTGTTTTATATAATTATATAAAAACAAGTGAGATAATAGTACTAATTCTCATATCTAGTTCTAGACATTCTTATTGTCTTGGTTAAATACGAATATTTTTTATCTTTCAACAGTCATCTACGTGGTTAAATTGTAAAATATCTCTGTTGGTTTTTATATCAGAGGGAAATGTGTAAGGAATAAATTGTGTGGTTGGAAGGGATGAATATTATGGCAGCCAACCCTTTCCAACTATACAATTTATTCTTTGAATATTCTCCTCTAACAGAAATGTTTTAGAATCTAAGATTAGATGATTCCTGCTCTCTTAAAGTGAGTCAGTGAATAGTCACTGATAGTTATGAGTATAGCCCTGAGCACTTTCAGTGCCATACTTATAACTGCAATTATAGTGCAATTCAGTGCCATACTTATAATTGCAAGTATATATTCACTGTTTTCAGTGATGTTTGACTGATTCATTTTAAGATAGTGTATATACATATATACAAGATAAGTATATACATATTATTTATATACATTATTATAGTATAGTATAGTATAGTAACATATATATATATATATATATATATATATATATATATATATTTATATACAATATAAGTATATATATATATTTTTTTTTTTTATTTGAAATATTCTTATTTAATATATTCTTATTCAAAACAATAAAAATGTTCAAGATTACATGCGTGTCCGGGCATTAATGCTTTTACCTTACAACGCAGTTTGTAGAGAGAGTTCTCGAAATAAAACTTGATGGTGTTGTTGAACGCAGTTCGCTATAATCAGTAGGGAATAATTTTTATTATTGTATGTTCTGAAAGGGTTATATCTAGGACAATGATAAATACTCACTCAGATACCGCGCGAGCCAAGTTTGAGACCAAGATTATGAGATCGCGAAGCCACACGATTTTATCCCGTAAACGAATTGGAAACGACGTACCGTTCGATGTGCCGCTGTCTGTTTCGCCATGTTTCTGTCTCGTCGATGTATCGTGCGAACGAAAAGCAAAAGTCGCTCGAATTAGGATCGAGAGACTCGATCGCGACTGTTTCCTGAGGCCGATCGGAGTCGGAGGTGCGTGTCGTTCGTGCGACGCGATTTAAGTCGCGCGAATTCCGGACAGCCAGCAACCGGCACGATCGTAACTGCAAAATGTCACTTCGATTTGCGGAAGACCCGCGGAACTCGTTACCCGCCGAACGCAATAACGTTTGCCAAGCTTTTACTATCTATCCAGATTTTCTCTTAGATCTCGCTCTGCCGCTTTGCTATCGCGTTCACTCTACAAAATGTTCTGGAACTAACTGATCAAGTCACAATTCGATTTTTCGTCATTTTTTGCTTTTGTGTGCTTCTCTAACTTTATAAATGGATATTGGACATTTCTTCTTCTTTTTGCGAATGGAAAATTATTTCCATATAATGATATATTTATAATTGATTTTAATGATATATTTATAATTGAGAATTTCATATTCTGTCTGTTCGTTTTATTTACAAAATAATTTATTTTATTTATCTATACTATAAAGAGTTTTCCCCTTAATAGAGATTAAGGTTGTGATAATAATGATAATAACAATTTGTTGACCGTCGAGACGCGTCGATTTCCTCTCGACAAGATCGTCGAGACACACTCGACGCGGTGTTTGTTAATGTCGCAACGACCTAAACAATCGACGAGAAAAAGAGTTTCGCGAAAACTATTATTCAGCCAAGTATACGCGTCTTTCGAGTAGACGACTGTTTCCTCTGCCTTTCTTTTTACCGACACGCCATTTACATATATCCATGGAGCGAATGTGACGCGCCGACTTGGTGATTATCATTCAAGGAGCTCGTCGTAATTATTCGCGGTCTCCTTCATAGTTTCCTCCGACCGAATCGGCTAATCGACTAATCGGGAATCTATCCTTCGAGCGAGAAATCACGGTGATTTATTCGTGGAAAGAAGCGCTGCATCGGCTACGAGAGGCTCCACGCGCCGCTATTTGCGTTTCAGATACGCATTATCATTCCCGTGACTAACGATCGGATTTCTTCGTCTTCTCGCTTCGAATCTTGACTTTTCTGATGTCGCGAATCCGGACGGATATCTCGACTTGTCGTTGCGCGTTGATTAGATTTTCGTTGAATCCCAGCCAATCTGGGCTCCGCGTTCTACTTCGCTTGTTCAATGACATTTTGGTCGTTAGATCCAGTCTATAATAGATGTGAGTCGTAAGCCCTAAGAACTGACCAATCATAACCGATTTTTCTTGCAATAATCGAGTGTGATTGACCAATTCTTACGACTTTAGGGCATCTATTGTAGACCAGGCCTTATCGGAGTCCCCGGATAAATCTTGAAGTTATCTTCATGATCTTCTAAAACTGCTCGACTTTTGCAATTGCCCGAATTACTGCTCTTAATGGAGCCGCATATCGTCGCGCAGTTACTGCTAAAAGTAGAAATCACTCATCATACAATCATCATTAGCAAAAGCTGTGTGTATCTCCGACTCGCTTACTCAAACTTTCGACAAGAATATTTGCTCGACCTTCAAAGTCCCGAGAGCTACGTTGAAGTTTCAACTTTCGCCATGGAGAACCCGTTGCTAAATGGCGATCGGCTTTCAGGTCTACTTTTTGAGCTGTTCGACTGTTCCTTTCGTCGACGCGCCCATACTAACGTGCTATTATCAGCGATTAGGCTGTCCGCGAGAAAGAACGGTCGAGGAATTTTTTCTTCTTCATTCTCTTCCACGGAAGATGTTTCAAGTAGATCAGTGGAGGAAAAAAGTATATTGTAAAGTGCGATCGGGACACGAAGCAGGGATCTCTGGTCAAATATCGTCTGCGAGTTGTTGCACGCACACTCGACTGTTTCGAAGGAAATATCACGTGGTGGTACAACGTGCACGATCTATCGACTTTTTATTGAACTACGTATGTATACATCACGGATTCTGCATAGGAGTTTTCTAAAATGGACAATTTTTCCTTTTATAAGAAATGACTCTTCAGAGAAATATCGAGAACACACGATGTCGTGCCGGTTTAGAGAACAGACAATGAGCAACGATAAAGTCATCAACGAGAATTGCGGTGATAAGTTATCTGAAAATAAATACGCTATTTTTGTCGCAATTATGATTCAATGTCGCGCGGGAAGCTAATCGCAAATTTCTTGTAGAAAAATCGATTTCTAGCTGTATGCTTTTATGTGCTGAAAAAAAACTATTTGAATCTTTAGCACTTATGGGACGTAAAGTTTGTTTCTGAAAAACAAAGTTTATCTCTGCGAAGTAAAGTTTATTTCCGTGAAATAAACGTATGTCTTATAAATAAATTGGCCGTAATTATGCAAAAATAGTCCAACCCACAAGTACGTTTCGAGAAAAATGAAGATAAAAACTCGATACATGATTTAGAAAGTATAGATATCACTAAGATTCTTCGCAATTCTTCGACAAGTTAAGTATGATTAATTTTCTTCTCTTCAAGGGTATTTATTGACAAGCTTAATTTAAAAAAATGGGTAAGAAATGCAACTAGTAAAAAATAAAAACCGTCTTTTATTTAATTTTAGCTGTCATATAAAGCTTGGATCTCTTTTATTTCATATACACAGAGAGAATGATTTGGTTGAATCAAATAAACACTTCTTTGAAATAGTCCAAACAAATTTTTTGATTAATCGAACAAAATTTTGTTTGACATGATAAAAATATTTATTTGCGTCTTAGTTCCAAAGAAATATTTTTATTGTGTCAACCAAATAATTTGTTTTTGAACTATTCCAAAGAAACATTTATTTGATTCAATAAATCGTTCTCTCTGTGTAGAAAGATGCATGTGGACTACCCACTAGTGATAAATTAAAAAATCGTGAATTCTAATTCTCGCCAATTTTTTAGTATTTTTTCTCAATGTATGTTCATTGATATTTCTGGTTTGCACTTGGGCGGTTATGTGATTAAATATCTTGGGTTGAACACAGTTGAATCCAAGAGATATCGACGAATTCAAATCAGGGAACTGTCAAGCTGCTCAAGCGAAGGCTATCTTCTTTCGCGAATGCAATAAAGAGCAGAATTTCCTTTTTCTCTGTCGCGCAAACAACGGAGATTGATGTCTTTGATTTTCTTTGACACGCCCGCGTCCGTCGGGACGAATTTGCGGCCCACTTTCGCTGCAGCAGACAGGCTGTCTCGAGTTTTCGCGTTTAACGGGATCGGCAAAACGTGGGAAGGCAAAATTGCCCGATGGGACGAGTCGAGCGAGGAGGCTACGACGATCACGAGCGCGGTGTGTCGTTTACGTAATCGTGCCGTCGAGATGTCACGCTGGGTCGCGCAGGTATGACGATAAAAGCACCTGAGGAACGTCGGCTGGTCGAGCGGAGCGCATTGTCTTCGTCCGCGATTATCGCGATGGCAGTTAATAACAGGCGTGCGTCATCTTGACGCAAGAATACACTGGGTGTCGATTTTAAGATCTCTTCAGTATCGCGCTTCTTCGGTTTACGCACACTTTGATAGCCTTTATTGGACCAGGTTTCGAAGATTGAGGATTGCGAATTAGAGACTAGAATTTGACGAATCAAATAATTTTGATCTTGGCTCTCTTTGATTTGACTGAGTCCTATCTTCAGTCTGGAATTCTCAATTTCTAAATCTAAGTCTGTGTTAAAATCATTATTAAAATTTGTCTCAGTGATTAGATACTCAAATCTGAATTTTGGCCTGTATTAATAGTCGTTGCTTGAAACTTGTTTCAAGTGAGATACTCAGGTTATATTAGTACACACCTTAAACTCGTATTAATAATTGTCACGTAGAACTGTCCCATGTGAGATATCCAGATTTTTATTCAGAGTTAGATTCAAGTTCTCCAACTGAATGATATGATATATGTATGACTTTGCATTTGTAATCAACTGAGATATTCTCAACTA